AATTGTTCTAACTGTCAGGAAATTTCTCCTCAGTTCTAAGTTGCTTCTTTCTTTGATTAGTTTCCACCCATTGACTGCATCCATAGAAATTTAGGAGATTTTTTCCAGGTTAGAAGATTTGATGTAGATGTAGTTACCGTGCAGGTTCTCCTCCCAACTGTCTCCTGACTGTCTTTCCTGGAGACATTTTGCTCCAGGAAAGTTGATGAATTATAGGTGTAACATTTGAAAATTACTCATAGGTTCAAGGAACAGAAATATCCAGTCAAACCAACACCCACAACCAGAATCTAGGTGAGGCTGACTTATGTGTTGGGGGTATAGCTCAGTGGTAGAGCATTTGACTGCAGATCAAGAGGTCCCTGGTTCAAGTCCGGGTGCCCCCTCCTTTTAATTTTAGGGAGGGCAACAATTATTATTTATGAGGGGGAAAGACAATAATTTGTATTACTCTCAAACTAGATATTTTGTTACAATAAGTGGAAAATAGATATTGAGCAGATTCCATATCTGAAGCTAAGGTTTTTATCCCATACTCCTCTGTCTTGGGAATAGAGATTAGTTGCTTGCCAATCAAGAAATAACATTTTCAGTTATATTCCCCTTTTGGGGAAGAAGGAATATCTGTGTAATTTAAATTTTTGGGTTGGTCTGAGGGTTGGTAGATGGTGAAATCTGGAAGAACTTCAAACACTTTTTTCCCATCCATGCAGATGAATAAGAATGTCCTCCTTCATTTTAAAAGACTAGGTTGGAGTGAGGTGGGGAAATGTATTTTAAGTGGCATGGATATCCAACCAGAAAAACCAAATCCACAGGTACAGTATAAGTGGTACCTCGCTCAATAGTAGTAACTGTGAGAAGGATCTTGGAGTCCTAATGGACAAACATTTAAATATGAGCCAACCGTGTGCAGCAGCTGCCAAAAAAGCCAACACAATTCTAGGCTATATAAACAAAGAAATAGAATCAAGTTCATGTGAAGTGTTAATACCACTTTATAATCCCTTGGTAAGGCCACACTTGGAATACTGCATGCAGTTTTGGTTGCCACGATGTAAAAAAGATGTTAAGACTCTAGAGCAGGGGTGTCAAATTCAAGGCACATGGGCCAAATTCGACCCGCAGGGTGCTTAGATCTGGCCTGTGGGGCCGCCCTGGAAATAGCGAAGGACCAAACGGCAATATCTCTGCCAGTGAAAACGGAGCTCCATTTTCACTGGCAGAGGGTTGCAGGAGGCTATGGCAGCTGGAAATGGAGTTCTGGAGCCCATTTTCACTGCCAGAGCTCTTGGGCCACCACAGGTTCCCCCGACCCAAGTGACGTTGAGCTAGCCACGCCCACCCTGGCCACGCCCACCCCATCCCCCCAAGATCAAGCACAACCATGATGCTGCCTCAATGAAATCAAGTTTGACGCCCCTGCCCTAGAAAGAGTGCAGAGAAAAGCAACCAAGATGATTAGGGGACTGGAGGCTAAAACATGAAGAACGGTTGCAGGAATTGGGCATGTCTAGTTTAATGAAAAGAAGGACTAGGGGAGACATGATAACAGTCTTCCAATCTCTCAGGGGCTGCCACAAAGTAGAGGAAGGTATTCTCTAAAGCACCTGAAGGCAGGACAAGGAGCAATGGGTGGAAACTAATCAAGGAGAGAAGCAACCTAGAACTAAGGGAAATTTCCTGACAGGTAGAACAAGTAACCAGTGAAGCAACTTGGCCTCCAGAAGTTGTGAGTGCTCCAATACTGGAGGTTTTTAAGAAGAGACTGAACAACCGTTTATATGAAGTGGTATAGAGTTTCCTGCCTAAGCAGGGAGTTGGACTGTGTTGTGGTGCGCTGGTGGTCTGCGGAGCTGGCAGCAGATTCGGACAGTGACGAGTTTGGGAAGGAACATGGGCCAGTCCTGGAGTCTGGGGAAGACTCTGGTGATCTTCTTTGGGTCTTGATTCCAGAAAGGAAACTAGGCTAATTGTACCCTACGCTTTCCAACCGTGAAAAGTTAGAATCTATTTTTGGATGTTGTTGNAGATTTTTACTCCAAAAGTATTTTATTAAAATAAATTTGATTTTCAAAAATCTGATTTAAATTAAAAAATCTGGATTATTTTTAATAATCTACTTTTATCCACTCTGCCTATTACTATAGAATTGGTGGAAATTAGTGTGGATTATGGTGTGGAAATTAGTGTGGATTAATGGGTTGTCTTGAAACATACTTTTTTGATGAAAAATACATTGAAAAGTATTTAGATCAGTGTTTTTCAGCCTAGGCAATTTTAAACTGCGGAGCTCAGCTCCCAGAATTCCTCAGCCATGCTTAGTTCCAAATTTAGGTTATCATGAATAATTGCAGGTGTAAGAGCATAATTTCAAATTAGTTTTGGATTGCATCCCTTTTTTATTTGATAAATTTTCATTCATTTGTTTCGATTTTTAAAATGTTTCCTGTGATGGTTCTTTTTTTTTTTGTTTTGTTTTTGTTTTGTTTTCAAACAATTTATTGGGAATTTTTTAAAACTACTAAATTTTCCACTGTTTTTAACATGTTCTTAATCTTCTCAACCCCCAAAACATTGTGAAATCTAGGTGCATGTCAAAATACAGTTCTTCCTATAATTTTTTGTAGTTGAAGCAAAAAGATGACTAGATATTTTTTTTCAGTTTATTACCTTTAAGGACACAAGCATGCTGATTTTCCTATTTTATGTTACTTGACAATGTTCTTTTATAGATGAGGAATTTTAATGCAGACCCTGAAGTTTTTATATTTCTGGTGAGCACAAGGGCTGGAGGTCTCGGCATTAATCTGACTGCAGCAGATACAGTCATCATTTATGACAGTGACTGGGTAAGTACTGTGTATTCTGACAGAAATCCTGATCCCAACAGAGTATATATTCAACTCCATCCATAGAGTACAGTTTTAGAATCCACTTGGAATTTAAGCCCTGCCTATGAAATCTGGTACAGTCTTGGAATAAATGTGAATTAAATTAGTGAGAGCCAGTTTGGTGTAGTAGTTAATGCACCAGCTAGAGTTTGGGAATCCTGCCTTAGGCACAAAGCCAGCTGGGTAACCTAGTAAGCTGGCAAGTCACTCTTGAAAAAAGGCATTGACAATCCAGGTCAGAAAACCTAGCCAAGAAAATTTCAGGGACCAGTCCAGGCAGTTACCAGGAGTCAACATTGACTTGCAAACACGCACACACACATAAATAGAAAAATATAGCTATATAGTTATTATTAAATGTAAGTAGAGGTAGTCCTCAGCTTACTACAGTTCATTTAGTGGCTTCGAAGTTACAACAGCACAGAAAAAGTGACTTATCAAATTTTTTCACATGATCATTTCAGCATCCTTATGGTCCCATGTTCAAAATTGAGATGCTTGGCAACTGACCCTCATTTATGATAGTTGCAATGTTCTGGGGTCATGTATAATCACTTTTTGCGACCTTCTGACAAGCAAAGTCAATGGGGAAGCCATTGACTTAATAACCATGTTATGAACTTAATAACTGCAGTGATTCACTTAACATCTTTTGTAAGAAAAGTTATAAAATGGGGCAAAACTCAGTTAACTCTTTCACTTAGCAACAGAATTTAGGGGTTCAGTTGTGGTCGTAAGTCAAGGACTACCAGTAGTGATATGCTATTTAGAGTTCGGTAGCTTTTTCCTTAAGCATGCCAAATTCTATCAACAATAGATGCAATGTAATGTTTCTAACAAGACTTGGTCTCTCAAATTCAAAATTTAACTGGAGAATATTACATTTTTTCTTATTCTCTTAATTAAAGGTCTCAGTTTAGTACACTTCAAAAACAGACAAAATAATTAGGAATAACAAAATTAACACAATTCAGTTCTTCTGTTGCCACTTAGTATGGGAGAATCTATAGCTATAGGTACAGTGTCAAAAATTCAGTTCACGGCATTATCATAGTTGTAAAATTTCATATGGAAGTTTGTTCTATCCCTTCCCTAACGGTACTCGTGTTCCACTTTCTGCAATTTAACAGCCAACAGAATCCATGCTTGGTGCCAAAGGAGAAGATTTAAATACCGAAAATGCCAGATTCCTTTCTGTAATTTCTCCAAGAATGTTTTTAAGCACATGTAAGAACAGGAAAAACTTGTGCTTGTCACAATAACAATAATTAAGCATGAATAATGTTGAGCTAGGAGGCCCCAAAGCACCTTTAACATCTCTAACCAAACATAGGAGGTCCTTGGAATTAAATAAAAATGTAGATATGTAAATACTTTTAAACTCTCTTGTGATCTCTTTTAGCTTAGAATGGAAGGTTTCTTTTTTTAATTTTTTTAAATTTTTCCCTTTCAAATTCATTCATAGATACACATTCTTATAGTTGTTATTTAATATTTGTCTATTAATCATAGTCTCTATACTCACTTTTACACACACAAACACACACCACTTTGGGTCACTTTCTTGCCACCCCATGCCTCCATCTCATTTTGCAACAACCTTCTTTCTTCTTCCCCTCTCTTTCTCCTCTCCTCCTCCCTTCTCCTCTTTCTTACCCTCTCTTCTACTCTTAATTCCCCACCATTCCTTTCTCTGCTTTACCCTTTCTTCTTTTCCCTCCTCATCCCCCCTCCTTTCCGTTGTTGCCCTTGCTCATTTACCTTCTTTGATGGATTCTTGGGGTGGCGTTTCAGCAATCCCTACTTTATCTTTTGATATAAATAATTTTCTCTGTTTACATTTTATTTCTAATATTAGCTCCATTTATGTCATTGTTCCGCTTGTATATTTACATTTTAATATTTTCTTATTTTCCCTCCTCTTAATTTGATAATGTGTTATCTGAGATGTCTATTTCATGTTTTCTTCCTTTCTCTTTCTATTTATATCTTTTTTCAAGCCAATCGTAAAATCACCCCCACGTCCTGTAGTACACTGATTCCTTTTTGTCCTTTATTCTCAATGTCAACCTGTCCATTTCTGCAGTCTAATATCTTTATTACCTCCTATTCTGATGGGATTTTATCTGCTTTCAAATTTTGTGCAAATACAATGCTAGGTGCTGTTAGTATCTGTACAATCAAATATGAATCTTCTTTACTATATTTCTCTGGTAGAATACCCAATAAAAATACCTCTGGAAGATTTCTTGGGGCCACCTAGCACTTAAAAATGTTGCATTTGAGAATAGACCAGAAAGTACTAAATCTTTCTTGACATGCTTTAAAGATCAAGAAGTGTATAAAATGGTATTCAGAAATCTTAATAAAGGCTATATAAGGATTCAGATTCAATGGCTGACATGTGATTTGAAGCATGTGGAGGCATGCATTTAGCGCCTATTAGAAATGCTTTAAAGTAGCTGCATTTTCTTCTTAACAAGCACGGCTGCCCTTCCCTTGATGTGTGGTATGTGTTATTATTACACTGTTGAAGATATAAGTCTAAAATTTGTTGTCCCCATCTCTCCTTTCCCCAAATGGTTAACAAGTCAGAAGTTTTTCTTCCTAAGAAGAATTTTTTACATGGAGATGAAAAGATAAATCTGATGTTCATGTGCCATTCAATATGAAATTCATATATTTTCTCTTCATAGAACCCTCAGTCTGACCTTCAAGCACAAGACCGATGTCACAGAATTGGCCAGACAAAGCCGGTGGTTGTATATCGTTTTGTAACCGCAAATACAATTGACCAGAAGATTGTGGAGAGGGCTGCTGCCAAAAGGAAATTAGAGAAACTCATTATCCACAAAAGTTAGTAATTACTACAATTCTTTGAAATCATGTTCACAATTTTTGTTGGACCACTAGCTTTGAGATTTTGCTTGTTGACATTATTATGCTTTTAATAGTCTATTTAAAAGCTATTTGTTTCTTTATTGGCACAGCCAACAGGACAAACTACAAGGACAATATGTCAAAAAGAACACAAAACATAAAATATAAATCATTGCTGAAAGCCCTTACTAACATTTTTCAAACAAATAAGACCCTGGGTTCTAATTCTAGTCCTATGGAGAATTTTTTACAGCTTGGGAACAAACTAGGAGAAGATCTTCTCCAGTATCCTTGATAAGGGCTTTCTATATCCCAGGAACTCAGACAGCTACAGAGAGGCATTTCCTGCGTATTTTAAAGAGCCTCTGTGGCGAAGTGGTTAGAGTGCAGTACTGCAAGCTACTTCTGCTGCCTGCAATTTGGTAGTTCAAATCCCACCAAGCTCAAGGTTGACTCATCCTTCTGAGGTTGGTCCAATGAGGACCCAAATTATTGGAGGCAATATGTGGACTCTGTAAACTGCTTAGAAAGAGCTGTAAAGCTGCATATGTCTAAGTGCTATTGCTATTAATGACCATATGCTCATAATGAGACATTTTTAGGCAGCTAGACTGTGTCATCTCAAGCTTTAAAAATCAAAAGTAACAGTTTATATTGTTTCTGTAGAACGAATGGCATCATGGCTAAACTGGCTAAACTGTTAATATAGTTAATTAATTCAATGTTACGTTGCTACATTTTGAACCAATTGAAGCCAGAATGTATTCTTCAAAGGGTAGCCTAAGAACTAGTAGTTTATAAGTATATTCATGATGTAATCAAAGCATGGATGATTTTTACTAGAGTTGTCAGGTTTAGACTAGTTTGCAGCTCAGATGCTAAATGTAGTTGCATAAAAACTCAAAAAATTCAGTACCTCTGAATTCTGCTAATTGCAGCAAAGACCAAGGAACTAGAGAGTAGTCTGGTTCCTTCAAACTTCTCTGGATAAGGAAAGGGCAGGAAATTCTTGGTGTGTGTTCTGGATGGCTGCTCTTCACAAGGAGATTGCAGGACAGTGATTTTCTACAGGTTTGAAATCCAAGAAACGATGGGATAAGCTATTGCTCACTACAACATAGAATTTTAAAAGACTTTCAATTCATAATTTCAAAAGTGCACACTAGAGGAGACTAACATTTATAGGTGGAGGAAAGATTTATAAAACTTTAAAATGTTCTAATGATGAAAATATATAAGAAGACTTTTGAAAAACAGAATCAGAAAAAAAAGTAGCTACAGTATCAACAATGTCAATAATGATGCTAGCTTCTATGGATATGTTATGTCCAAAAGATATGTTACAAAAGATAAACCAAAAGAGAGTGACCTATATATTTTTTTTCCTGCTGGGTTTACCAAGACACTTAACTAAAATTTTAAAGAATTAAGTGCAATGGGACAAAGAAGAAATTAAGAGATTAATTAAGAAATTAAGAGAAATCAAATCCTCAAATTTGATTATTAGATTGAACTAAAAATTAAGACTGTTAGAAGTAAAAGGAAGGAATATCAAGTTGATTTATTTGACCAAGGTTAAAACAAGATACATTGTTACTTCTGGCAACCCTTTCAGACATTCTACTGACACCATGACTGAAACCTTAGAGGGGTTACAGAAAAGTGGATATTAACAGTCTGACTGTGCAGGAGGGTAATTTCCATTTTTGGCATCCATGTTTATGATTACAAAAAACTAATTTTTCTTGGCTTGGGAGATCCAGGAACAATATCAAATAATCTGATATACATATATAATATCAAGGAGCTCCTTTTTGAAAATTTTTGTGTTTGTATTAATTTTCTATAACTATACTTCTATTATCCTTCTATTTTAGAATTTAAAAAATGACTGTCAGTTTATACTGCATATTTAATTTAAAAAATCACAGTGCTGTTCAATAAAGGTGAATAATAAAATTAAATTCAATGGTGAAAAGAGTAAGGTTCTACATTTAGGCAAGAAAAACAAAATGCACAGGTAGAGTATATGTGGTATCTTGCTCAATAGTAGTAACTGTGAGAGGGATCTTGGAGTCCTAGTGGATAACTATTTAAATATGAGCCANTATATATGTAGATTGTGTTTGTGACTGTAGATGCAGTATAAGATTAGAAAGTCACCATTGCTCCCCTGTATTGCACAAACAGATATTGAAAACCTCCAAGGTGTTAAGTGCACCTGGAAAGATGCTTGACAGAATTTTGATTGAAAGTGGTGGAAACAGCAAAATTGGGAAAGAGCAGAGCAGCTTTTCACTAGACTTGAGGATATGCAAACTAGATTTCTGTTCTCCTCCAGGTCATGCAGAAACTAGAAGATAAATCTTATTGGACATTTGTTTATTTAGAGCAGTGCTTCCCAGATCTGGGTGAAATATCCAAAATTGAGTATAAGTGTTTTTTCTTTGATAACAGTCTACGAACCCATTACCAGATCACAACATAGATATGTAAATTGACAAAGAGTTTTATCTACATTGGGTAAAAAAGATTTTTGGATAGTGGTTTTGAGTAATGAAGGAAAAGGTTTGGGATTGATTGAAAGAATATGATGAAGTAAATTGCCTTGAATTGTAAAATATTTTGCATGAGTATGTGTTGTTGGATGCAACAAGAGAAATTATGCTGAAAAAAAAGATATGTTAGAATTGAATACTTAGTGATACTTGGTTCACATGCAGCATGGAACAGTCAAGGATACCTCCTGTCTACACTTTTACATCCATAATTATACTGATCAAAAAAATATAATCTTGCCTTCAAGGTCATCCAATTTTCTTAATTCCAAGTGAAGGATTTTCCTATACTTAAGAAAGTTTTCATTTATAAAAGCAATCCCATTCATCAGTAAATAGGCAATTATAAATATTTATAAATATTCGGGACATTTTATATCTGTAGACCACATCAATTCTGTTAACAGCTGTTATTTCAGTTATCAGGTATTCTGTTTATTAACCAAAAAGATATACTTGCCAGAATTAGAATCTCTGGAATCTGTTTATTCGTGTCAGAAACATCACAATTAAAATGAGGCATATTGTATGACATAAAATTTAAAATATAAAATACAAGATTAAAATAGCAATAGCACTTAGACTTATATACCGCTTCATAGTGCTTTACAGCCCTCTAAGCGGACTTACAGAGTCAACCTGTTGCCCCCAACAATCTGAGTCCTCATTTTACCCTCAGAAAAATGGAAGGCTAAGATAACCTTGAGCCTGGTGGGATTTGAACTGCCAAATTGCAGGCAGCCGGCAATCGGCAGAACTAGCCTGNCTGGATCTGGCTCCCGGGCCTTGAGTTTGACACCTGCTGTAGATTAATCAGCACTGAAGCAGAATAATTGGATGAAATAGCTCTTGAAGGGAAGTACTGTACTGACATCTTTAATAGATTTTACTTGTAGCTTTACTTCAAATTGCTTTCATTTGCAAGGCCAGTGATTGCAGTGGATATGCCTTTGGATTCAGAAATCAACCTTAAGTTGCAGAACATTATGATGCTGCTGAGGAAGTGTTGCAACCATCCATATCTTATTGAATATCCCCTGGACTCTGTCACACAGCAATTTAAGGTAAACCTTTACTCTTTCTTCGAGTAGACATAAAGCTGTGGGTCTAGTTTAGATCTATTTTGACAGTGTTGTTGAAAAATAGTGTACAGCTTTAGTCAATTGTTAAGCTGTTGGCCGGCCAAAAGAAGTAGAAGTAGAAGTACTTACGCATAATCCTGTTTATGCATGCAGAAGGCAAAGGAAGGAATATAAAAATAAAAGCATTATTAGTAAGGATTGAAGAGAGGTTGTAAATGGGAGAGATCATTCTCTGGGAATGTGAATGTGGGAAAGGAAAGAAGCAAAAAATAATAATTAAAAACGAGAAAGTACAATGACTTCAGGAAGAGAAAATATTAAGCCCCACGTGAAAAAAAAATCATGATTAATATGGGCAAATAATGAATACAAGGAAATGTGCGGAAGCTGCATGGAACAAAGTGGAAATAACTACACAACAGAGATAAGTGCAATTGTGCTAAAAGGAAAGTATAAATAATGGTTATCAGAATGATGAAGTGGAAAAAGGTTTGGGTGAGGGGAAAATACAAGTAACAGAATACTGCAAAAATAAGGTTGAGAGAAAGATAATATGTGTAGAGAAAAAGGGAAAGATTCTAGATTACACGAGTAGCAGTGATGTGTTAAAAAGTGGAACCGAGGCTAATACAATAATTGTTTATGTCTAATGAGCATTGATAAAAACTGTGAGAAAGTTACAAAATGGTAAGCTGCAAGTGTAGGTAGTGTAGTTGGAGAAATGTTNCATTGTATTGTATTGTATTATTGTAAGGTATTTTTTCTTGTTTCCCTTTAAGATCAGTTCAAAGGCGGTAAATTTGGAATAAACCAGTCAAAGAGCTGCTTAGATCCCAAAGAGTTAATAGAATTGATGCAATCCAGGGATTATGACAGGTATGATCTGCTTGCTTCCTGGTTTATTTAATTTTTCTGTTTTTTTAGTTCATACATAGCGCTTAGTCCTGTTATCCCACAACATCCACCCTGTAAGGTGAGGTGGGCTGGGTTGAGTTAAAGCAGAGTAACCAGCCCGACCAGAAAGTTTCCATGGCGGAGGATAGACCAGAACCTGAATTTTTCCATTTCTGGTCCAAGCCTTTAATCATTACATCACACTGGCTCCCCATACGGAACAAATGAGTACACGAAGGAAGCGTTTTTACAACGAAAGCTAAAGTCATTGCCAAGAAGTTAAGCCCTTAAATACAAGGGAACTTAATAAAAATATTTCCTCCTTTCTTTTTCTAGAGAGATTAAAGGTTCAAGAGAAAAAGTAATAACTGACAAAGATTTAGAGCTACTGCTGGACAGAAGTGACCTTATCGGTAAGTATTGGATATATTAGTATGCCTTCTGTTTTATTGCTTTCTTTTAAGAAATTCATTTTAAATATCAACTTATATGGGACTGGAGGCTAAAACATATGAAGAACGGTTGCAGGAATTGGGTATGTCTAGTTCAATGAAAAGAAGGATTAGGGGAGACATGATAACAGTGTTCCAAATCTCAGGGGCTGCCACAAAGAAGAGGGAGTCAAGCTATTCTCCAAAGCACCTGACAGTAGGACAAGAAGCAATGGGTGGAAACTAATCAAGGAGAGAAGCAACTTAGAATAAAGAGAAATTTCCTGACAGTTAGAACAATTAATCACTGGAACAATTTGCCTCCAGAAGTTGTGAATGCTCCAATACTGGGAGTTTTTAAGAAGATGTTGTATATCCATTTATCTGAAGTGGTGTACGGTTTTCAGTATAAGCAGGGGGTTGGACTAGAAGACCTTCAAGATCCCTTCCAACTCTGTTATTCTATTCTATGTAGTACTGATGTGGTTAGCACCAGTATGCTTATGAATATCCTCTTGCTCTCTCCAGGTTATTATTTCACATTTAGCTCTCTGACATATATCGCAGCAACTACATGTAAACACAGTACAGACTTCCTTCCAGAGTGTGTCCTGCTCACACCATATTGAAAAGTCCCCCTCCCCAAGGAACAAGAAGAAAGTCGAGATAATAGGACCCCTAATGGAAGCAGATAGCAAGAAGGTGCCCGGTAGCAGGGAGAAAGCAAAACTGTTTAATCCCTTTTTGCATCTTTTTATACAAAATGAAAAAAAAATGCCCAACTTAACAAGAGCAGCCTTGAAGGAAATAGAACAGGTATACAAATCAAGACAGACAAGGAAATAGTAAGCAGAATACCTATCCACCCTGAACGAGTACAAATCACCTGGAACAGATGGTTTGCGTCCCAGGGTATTGAAGGAGGTGGAAGATGTAATCTTGGAGCCACTGGTTATAATCTTTCAAAGCTCCTATGGGCAGGAGAGCTACCAGAAGACTGGAAAAGAGCTGATGTGGTTTCAGTGTATAAAAACGGGGAAATGGATCCATTGAAGTTATAGGCCCATGATGGCGAACCTTTGGCACGTGTGCCACAAATGGCACGCAGCGCCCTCTCAGGGTACATGGGCCATCGCCCTAGTTCAGCTCAACTGTGCATGTGCACATGCCTCTTGCCAGCCAGCTGGTCATCAGGTCTGCCGCACATGTGTGAAGGGTGGGGGACCGCATGCCGTGTAGGGTGTGTGTGTCGCACATTGCATTTTGGGGGTTCGGGCGCACGCACACACATTTTGGGCACTCAGTCCGGAAAAGATTACCCATCACTTATAGACCAATTAGCTTAGTTTAGTTTAATTTACTTTATTGTCATTGCACATGGTACAACAAAATTAAATGCCGTCTTCAGTGTACATTAAAATTATAAAAATAAAAACACAAGCATACATCCTTTACATTCCATGTAATGTAAGCTTGACCTCAATACCTGGGGAAATCCTGTAAAAGATAAGATTTGTGAGCCCCTAGAAATGAACAAGGTTATTAGAAGTCAGAATGTTTGTTAAAAACAAACTATGCCAAACACGCCTTATATCCTTCTTTGATAAAGTGACTAAATTAGTGGACCAGCGAAACTCTGTGGTAATAGGAT